ATCATTATATGTAGAAACACAAAGAGCTTTTATATGAAGAACTTCTGACCCAAGCCCAAGATTGAAGTCACACACTACTACCACACACTGGTGGCTCATGCCTGTAATCCTAGTTCCTCAGAAGACTGAGATCTGAGTATCATAGTTCAAAGCCACACAGGCAGGAAAGTCCTTGAGATTCTTATCTCAAACTAACCACCAGAAAACAGAAAGTGGTGCTGTGGTTCAAAGTGGCAGAGCATTAGCCTTGAGCAAAAAAGCTCAAGAACAGTGCTCCAGCCCCTACAGAGTACAAGCCCTACAACCAAACAACAACAGCAACAAAAAGAGTCACACATTACAAAAACAAAAACCAAAGCAAAAAGGAAATTTAGGGAATGGGGATTTAGTTCAGTGTACTTAGCATGTATGAGGCCCTGGGTTCAAACTCTAGCAGCAAAAAACAAATAAAACAGCAAATAAAACTTCGTTTATTTTCTCTCTTTTGCTATTGAATGACAAATAAATGCTTGTAAGAAGGGTAATTAAATATATACTCTAGTTCACAATATGTCTGGTAAAGATAAAAGGAAGCCAAAAAAATGGTAAGGAGGTGTAATAATCATTCAAATGTGGCTACAGGTGTTAATAAGCAGAGTAGAAGGCTAGCCATTAAAATTATACTTACAAGGGTTGACAGTGTAACTCAGTAGTAGAGCAAGGCCATAGGTTCAATCCTCAGCATCACACACACAGAGGCACAGATATGGACATACACCAAACTATGCTAATAAGATTGGCAGAAAATGAAATTTGCTATGTGAAGAAATTAGCTATGTGAAGAAATTCCTATGCCCCAAAGGATTTGTTTTTTTTCCTTTTAATTCTTTTTTTTTAATTTTATTTTATTTTATTTGTGAACATACTGTACAGAGGGGTTACAATTACATGGGCAGGATAATGCATACACTTCTTACCAAGCATTGCATCCTCCTCCTTTGTTTCCCCTTCACATCCCTTCCCAGCCTCCCCCCTCCCCCCCAAGCCCCAAAGGATTTGTAAGTATATTACAGAATTTAGTAATTTTTTCTGAATAATTAATTCTACCAAGTAAGGTATGAGATAGGCTAGAACTTAATTAGGGCTGTCAGGATGGCTGGCTAAGTAGGCTGTGTAGCAGACAACTTAGGACCTGCCAAATTTGTCCAGTGATGTCCCTTGGCATTTATATATCTGTACAACTGTTGAGTGGTGGCCCTACATTTAACTAATATATCTGAGTGAGTAGATAAAGAAGAAATACAATAGTCCACATAGGCTCTAGAACATAGGGACTCTATTGACATTGTAAGCCAGATCATTCTTTGTTATGGGGTAATTCTGTGCACTGTAGAACATTTAACAGCACTGTAGACCTCTACCTACTCACTAGATGCCAGTAACAATCTTCCCCTAACACCTGTAGTAACAACCAACAAAGCCTCCGGACACTGCCAAATGTCCTCTGGGGAATTAAATCCCCCACACTCATCTGAGAGCCACTAATCTAGAAGAACAAAGACTGAGGAGTATTTATCAAGCTCTGACTAAGACATAGCACCTATCACATCAGAAAGACCTGACACATGAGCAGAGTGCAAGCAGAAGAGATTAATTCTCCAGGTAATCTCAGGAGCAGTGACCCCACAGATGTACTAATCCCTTTGTTTTCATTCCATTTGCCAAGTAATGTTCCAATTACCAACTCACTATCTTAGGCACAGTAATAGCAGGGAAGTATTACTAAAGAGTAAATGTGTTATATTTTTAAAGAAGTTTTAAACAGTGCAGTGGCTTAGAACAGTCCACAGGTTATTGTCAGCATCGACATTGGACTGTATAAGAGGAAACAGATGGAAAAACATTTGGAGAGAATGGTAATTTAACAATGTGTTAAGATTAAATTTCTGAGTTAAAAAAACTTTAAAAAAATGAAATAATTCCTTAAACAAGAGAGACTAAATCAAAATCCTACCACAATATTTTCTACATTGAGAAGCATAGACAAAAATATATACATTCAGCTGGGTACTGGTGGCTCATGCCTGTAAATGCTCACAACTTAAGAGGCTGAGATTTCAAGATTGTGGTTTGAAGTCAGCCTGGGCAGAAAAGTCCATGAGACACATATCTCCACTTAACTAGCACAAAAGGCTGACAGTAGAGCTATGGCTCAAGTGGTAGAGTCTTGAGCAAAATACACCCCTCAAGGTCATCACTCAAGCCCTCAGTTCAAGCCCTAGAAACAGCACGTGTGCGCACAAGCACGCGCATACACCCACAACCAACCAACCACTCACACCCATACCCACACAAATTAGTTTTAGTTTTGCTTAAAGGATTCCAAGAAGGAACCTCAACAAATCAATAGAGGATGACTATCTTTAACTTGGGAAAAAGTTTCAGACTGGTTATTTTCAGATTTTAGAATAGTTAAATATATCTAATGAGATATTCTTGGAAAGGGGGACCACGTTGAAATAGAAAATTCATTTGTTTCATGTATACCTTGTACAAATAGCCATTTAATATAATAGTCAATGTACAAATAGTCATTTAATGCAATATTTTAAAAACTTTTTTTTTTTTTGCATGAAACTAAGTTTCACAGAAGGCAATCTGTCAAGTGCACAGAAAGATTCAGATTTTGCAGCATTTTGGATTTCAGATTTTCAGATTAGGTAATATGAATCAGAAACAAGCAGTGAAAGCTAAAGCTATATTTAAAAGTACATACTTGGGCCGGGCGCCGGTGTCTCAGGCCTGTAATCCTAGCTACTCAGGAGGCTGAGATCTGAGGATCACAGTTCAAGGCAGCCCGGGTAGGAAAGTCTGTGAGACTTTTATCTCCAATAGAGCTCAAGGGCAGAACCTAGGCCCACAGTTCAAGCCCCAAGACTGACAATAAATAAATAAATGTAGATACTTGGGCCATGTTCTGGTGGCTCATGCCTATAATCCTAACTACTCAGAAGGCTGAAATCTGAGGATTGTAGTTCAAAGCCAGCCTAAGCAGGAAAGTCTGTGAGACTCTTAGCTCCAATTAACCATCAAAAAATCAGAAGTGGTGCTGTGGCTCAAAGTGGTAGAGAGCTAGCCTTGAGCAAAAGAGCTCAGAAGCAGTGCCCAGGCCCAAAGTTCAAGCCTCACGACTGACAAAAAAAGAAGAAAAAAAAAGTTAAAGTGATACTTGGATAGGTAGACTAGAGAAAGATGAGTACTTTGAGACTTGGTGGAATTTAGTTTGAGAAGACAAATGACTGTTTTGGAAGACAAATGACTGAGTAGTCTTTTTTTTTTTTTTTGGGTCCAGTCGTGAGGCCTGACCTCTGGGCCTCGGTGCTGTCCTCAGCTCTTCAGCTCAAGGCTAGCGTCTACCACTTGAGTCACAGCGCCACTTCTGGCTTTTTTCCTTTTTGCTTATGTGGTGCTGAGGAATCGAACCCCGGGCCTCATGCATGCAAGGCAAGCACTCTACCACTGAGCCACCTTCCCAGCCCCTGACTGAGCAGTCTATAAGAGCATATGTAGAGCCTGGCACTGGTTGCTCAGGCCTATAGTCCTAGCTACTTAAAGATGCTGAGATCTGAGGATTGTGGTTCAAAGCCAGCCTGGGCAGAAAAGTCCCTATGAGACTCTTATCTCCAATTACCATTCAAAACCCAAAGTGGCATTGTGGCTCAAAGTGGTAGAACACAAACCTTAAGCAAAAGAGTTAAGGGACAGTGCCCAAGCCCTGAGTTCAAGCCCCACAATTGAGGGGGGGGGGAAAAAAAGAGCATATATAGAGCAATAAGGCCTCTCTTCCACCTAACCTGGCCCTCCACCCCCACCACTATGGCCCCAGCAGATAACCTGGGCTGCTTGGTGCAGAATGAGAAAGGTGTGCCTCAGGGTTCATCATCCCAATGGTAGAGGTCCCCAATGGTAGATATCAGCCAGAGGTTAAAAAAAAACAAACAAATTCTACATGCTGATGTCATCTATGCCTGGTTTATATTCCTTCTGAGGTCATACAACCTCCATAGGTACACACAGAAGTTAAAGGTGACACTTGCTCCTATGATACTCTAAACTTAATGTTCACATCTCCTTTGAGAGTGATTTCTATGAGTAGGCACTATTAATATACTCATTTTATATATAAGGGCATGGAAGTTAAGAAAGCATTCCCACGATCACAACAAAAGCAGGCCAGGAAACTACAACAGTGCCTTCCAGTTGATGGTTCAATTCTTAGCATCCCTTTCACCAGGTGAACAAATTGCTGAAGGTGTCTGAACCAGTTTCCACAACCAATAACATGGGTTTAGCAAGAGCTTTTATTTGCAACATTTGTTGGAAAAATAGGATGAGATTATATATGTTGACAATCTGCCACACAGAAGCTACTCAGGAACTGTGTGTAATTTTCCTTGCTTACTTCACATTCATTTTTTTTTTTCTTGGTTGGTCATGGGGCTTGAACTCTGGGCCTGAGCTCTGGGCCTGAGCTTTTTTGCTCGAGGCTAGTGTTCTCCCACTTGAACCACAGTGCCTCTGGTTTTCTGGTGGTTAATTGGAAATAAGAGTCTCACAGAATTTCCTCCTGGGATTGGCTTCAAACTGCAATCCTAGATCTCAGCCTCCTGAGCAGTTAAGATTATAGCCATGAGCCACCAGTGCCTGGCCACATCCTTCTTTGTATGCTTGCTACTGCTGTGTGAAACTTTTCTTTCTAGGTCTGCTGAAAATTGGGTTCTCACATGGTAGCTCCAGGGGAAGAAGGCCAAGTAGTTGTAGGAAAATGGACACTATTGCTGACTATATCCTACTGGCATACTTGCTAGATATGTGCTATATCTCTAAACAGGATGTAGTCTATATCCATCCCTATCCAACCCTGCCTCTGTCCATTCTCACCTGCTAGTATAATAAGCTTTTCAGCTTCAAAGCTACATATCCTCCAGCCTTTTCCAGGTGGATGGAACCAGAAAACTTACCTAATGTCCTGACAATACGCATGAGGACTTCTCCAACTTTCATCCTAGTCTCTGGTGTGTGTTTGTCTTTGCCGCTATCATATCGGGCCAACAGGTCAACCAGGATTTTTTCAGGGTATACATCTGAAAGCAGGGCAACCCCTGGGATTCAAAACAAAAACGAAGAATTCATTATTGTTTAGGACCAAAAGGCAAATAAACCTAGAGGTTTATCTGGTAAACCTGTGATGGTTTACCAAAGAGATGGCAAGGGCTTTTCATTTGGAGAGATGATGCAGTGAAAGAAGAAGGGATGGGGGTTCAGACTTCTGGATTTATCTGTTCCCAGCCTGATGTCTAAGGTCCATCTCAGCCCTAACATTTTATGATCTGTGGCTCAAGGACATTTGGAGACAAGCTAGATTACTGTATATGATCAGCCATGGCAGGAATTCACTCAGCAGGAGACCAATAGGGTTCCTCCTGATTCTGAGACTCTAAGGTATAATGATGAGTCTTGTCCCTGTCACACATAAGCACAGCACTGCTTACTGCCTTGGCTGTAGTCTTCTATTCTAGTGCAACTTCCTTCTTAAATCTGCCAACGAGGATAACAACTTCCATAAGGTAACACTTTCAGAGCACCATGGGTATGATCAATACAAGACCTACACTTGTGGTTAGTTCCCAGGTCATCTTTAAGACTCTTACATTCCCCTTCCTGGGACATCATCTCATCCACAACAGAACTGCTAGTGTGTAACTACAATGGTGCTCTCATATCTGAATCCACATGGAGCAAGCTCTGCAGGAATATGGTGAGGCAAATAATTCATAATTCTCAGATCAGACCAAAATAAAGCCCCTGATCTCTGGTACATAAATACAACTGAGGACAGAAAGGTTATAGCCCTCTTGAAAAAAAATAGTGAGGAAAAAGGAAATAACAAAATACACAGGGAAGCAGGATGAGACTGGCTCATCACCTCAACTACTCTGGTCACTAGTGTGGTTCTGACTTTTCTTGTGATTGTTCTCTCTGCTTCTGCTCTTTTCCCTCACTGGAGGAGGGCTCACTTATTTTCAGGGACCTTCATTTTTGTGGCCAAAGCCTCTCAACGGTTTCTCTTCTCCCTTGAGTAGAAGCAGCCTCATTTCCATCCCCATATTGCCTTGGTTCTCTGATTCATCCTGTGTCCAGCCTCTCTTTCTCACTATCCTCAGCAATTCAGCCTACCTAGCTTTCCTATGAAGACCAGGCTGCTCCTGGAGGGTATCTGCCTCAGTTGCTTCTCTTGTAGGAAGCCTGACAACTTGCTCCAAAATATCTTATCTCTGGTCATACATCACATTCATCACATAGAAAGCAGCAGCCTCCTTCCTCTCTGCCTGTATCTTGTTCTCTGTTTCTATCCCTTTACCCTGCTTCGTTTTCTCTTCAGCACATACCACCTGACAGTTCATGTTTCTTTATTGTCTGCTTCCCTCCTTGGCACATGAACTCCACAAAGCCCAGGATTTTCTTTTGTTCCCTGCTGTAGCCCCTGCCCTGAAGCGTGCCAGTACATAGCAAGGGTTCAATAGCTATTTGCTAAATCAGTCAATGAATGAATGAGTAAAAAAGTCTCAGCAATACAGTCTCCACATACATGGCAGGAATTCAGAGAGGATGGGGAGGGAGCAACAGAAATGCTGAAGAATCTAATTATTTTTCACCTGTTTGCCATTCTGTTTAAACTGGCAATGTTGCAGGCAGGGTTCACACACCATTTCCTATGGTATAGGTTGTGATTTCATTCTTATAAAATCACATGACTATCTTCACTCCTCTCATCTGCTGAGCTGTGAAGGCTGTGAAGTGCACCTGCTGAGGTCGGCACTAGTCTGCCCATCTTCTTTTCTGCCCTTTCTACCCTTATTTTTTGTTTCCCAAGAGTCTGGAAAGCCTCTGTAGTTGGTTTAAAGCCATATCTCCCTGCACATGGAAGCCATCATAGTTCTATTCTATTGTATAAGGTGATAGAGAAGTCCTTGGAGGTCCAAGGTGGAGTTAGGGACCATTCCATCTAGCATAGGAAAAATGTCTGTGGTTTAAGAAAAAAGGTAAATGAACTGTTTACTGAGAGGGAGAAAGTCAACAGTTTCCAAGTTCTAAAAGGGCGAGGAAAGGAAAGTGAAGGATGGGAGGGAGCTGAGTTCCAGCAGGCAGTGTCTCCCTGACACACTGCAAGGCTGGGTATATAGTACATATCCACAGCCATCAGAGCCACTTCTCACAAGTTCCCAACTCAGACATCTGCTGCAGTTGTTTCCTCTTAGGAACAGAGTTGTGCCTCTGTGTGAAAAACTGGGGAAATGGACTTTATGAAATTGCAATCTAGATGTAAGCTCTTCTGAAACTCATCTTTACAAATCTGTCCTGCTATTGTTTATTTTTAGTTTCTCTCATCAATCTTTAGTAGAAAAGAATTGTTTATTTCCATATCCTACCCCAAGAAGGTTTTTTTTGTTTTTGCTTTTCTTATACCACTAAGTTTGAAAGTCACCAGGGAGCTTTAAATACTCCCATTCTTCCATGAAGAGGCTGCCAATGGCAAAGTCCATTTCCTTGCTTCCCACAGGCCCAGGTATGTCAGCCATTGTTTATCTTCCTGCCCGCCAGCCCCACAAACTGCTGCCAAGTGGCCCTGTGACTGTTTGACGTTTACCTTCTAGGATACAGTTGCTACCGATGAGTCTATAAATCCCTCAGGATAAGATAGGGCAGTGCCTACCTTATTCACCAGTGCTGAGGAGAATCATAAATGATGCTCAAGACTGTAAGACAGGCTGGGGTGTGGCTCAAGTGGTACAATGCTTGTCTAACATGCCTAAGGACCTGAGTTCAATTCCCCCCACTTACCTCTCCACCCATTTCTCTCTCTCTGACTGACACACACACACACACACACACACACACACACACACACACACACACACACACACACACACACTGACAGTGAAAGGGATGAGATATTTTTGTGGCTGTTTCTGTTTCTTATCTGAAATGTTTCCTAAGTCTGACATGCTTAGGTTTTTAGTCTAACCTCCTCATACTTGGTAATTCCTTTGTAATCTGAAAATGGGGTAATTTCTGGGCCAGCACAGGCTTCAAGGAAACATGACCCATCAATTCCTTTGGCAATAAGAGCCAAATGATCTTATGAGAGATAGCTCCTCCTGCTTTGATCACAGGAAGAATGACTCTGCACTTCAGGATGTGGTGTAAAAGGTAATATATACAGAAGGTAAAGGGAAAGCCAAACCAGGAGTGTACCAAAGCATTCTGACCCGCATGTTAGGGCACAGCACAGGATACGGGCAAATAGTTCAAATGAAAAAATGAAAAGTATTTCCTGTAATAAAACAGATTGTCAACTCTACAACTGTTTCTCTGCCCAGAGGTTTTCATTAAGTCAGAAATGTATTCTGATCAAAAGCGTTCGCTGGAGCTGAGCAATGGTGGCTCACACTTGCAATCATAACTACTTAGAAGGTTGAGACTGGAGGACTGTGGTTTGAAGCCAGCCTGGGAAGAAAAGTATATGAATTCTTAGTGCTGAAATTACTGTTAGTTTTCATGTTAATGAGACCTCTCCAGGTAAATCTGTACAATTTTTATGTTTTTATGTATTAGCTAAAAATTACCAACCAGCTGTGATGTCCTAACTTTGGGTTCTAAGTCATCAAGATAAGAAAAGTAGAACTTAGAAGAGAAGGAAAAACACTATCTTTCAGCAGGAGAGGTCTCATTAACATGAAAACTAACAGTAATTTCAGCACTAAGAATCCAGGAAGTTGCACAAACCACGGAAGTTGGTTATTAACTTAAGGAAGTATGGAGAACTCAACTGAATAGCTGGGCTGTCTTTGTAATTAAAGTCAATGATAACATCTAGCATGCCAATTTGATGTTTAGTTTTTCTAGAGCTCCAAAGCTGTGTTAACTGTGGACAAGTCCCAACAAATTTATAGATTCAGGATGAGTATTACTCAGGCCTGAAGAAAAATCAGGGTTCCATGAATGAACTTTGATGTTGAAAGGTGAGGACTATAAGGACTTAACCTATTGTCTATTTTTTTTAGTTTTGCTTAATATTTTTTCTTTCCACATTTTTTTGTGCGTGAGTACTGTGACTTAAACTCAGGGCCTGAGCACCATCCCTTGGCTTTTTTACTTCAGGATGGCATTCTACCATTTTAGCCATACCTCCACTTCCAGTTTTTTAAGAGAGATAAGAGTTTCATAGAATTACCTGCCTATGCTAGCTTTGAATCTCAACCCTCAGATTTCAGCCTCCTGAATAGCTAGGATTATATAGGTGTAAGTCACTGGAGCCCAGTTCTTCCAATGATCTGTACAGGTGGTTTCATTTTGGAATGTCCATATATGCATACAATGTATCTTGATCAGGCTTACCTCCTCTAGTACTCTTCCCCAACTCCCTTTAATGTCTATATCTTTAAATCAGGATCCACATAATAAATTCCAGCACTCAGATGATGTTAATATTTTTGTTTTCTAATGCTCATTTTAGAGGGGAAAAAGTAAAAATGAATGAACAACTTATAGCTACTGAAGTTTGCCATACTTGCTGGAAGTCATTTGAATAATGAGATACTATTAGTAAGTAAAAACTAGCAGCACTATTCTTTTTTATTTTCTGTGCCAATTCTGGGGCTTGAATTCAGGGCCTGAGTGCTGTCTCAGAGGGTTTTTTTTTGTTGTTGGTTTTGGGGTTGGGACCCAGGCTCAAACTCAGTATCTAATGCTTGCTTTCATTTATTGGCTGGTGCTCAACCAACCTGTGGCACAGTTCCCTTTCCAAGTAGCACTATTAATATATAGAGAGATGGAAGACATGGCCCGAGACCATAGGGCTGCCTTCTGGCCCAGCAGAACTGCCAACCTTTCTGCTCAATACCTCTGCTCCACATGGCCCACCTGGTGGCCAGCAATGCCAAGGAGAAAACACTAGAGCATAGTACACACTGAGTAGATCCTAACTGAAAACCTCACACTTTCAAGTGCATAAGCGACTAGTCTCACTCCACGAAATGTACTCTAAAGGACACCAGTGTTGGCGTTAAGGAGAACACCTGATCCCCTGCATCCCACATGA